CGAGCCCTGGGGGAATGCAGGTTGTGCACCTGAGCCCAGCACTCAAGCTCTTGTACTAACAACTGCCCTCTCCAACTGGTGTGATCCTGAACGTGTTGCAGGTACAGCACCTGCACCTTGTCCCTGCTCCCATAGGACCCTGCATCCATCCCCAGCATACTGGAGGCTCTGAGTCCCTCATAGCTGATCCCCAGCTTCACAGGACCCTGCACCCATCCCCAGGAGACTGGGGGCCCTGAGTCCCTCACCCCAGCCCCAGCCCCTGTGGTTTCAGACACACCAGATCTCACCTTCCAGGTCGTATGTGCGGCGGTTCAGGTTTGTGGCAGCTGAAGAACGGGGCCGGGAGAAGGAGGAGGGCATCTCCCACAGTGTGTCAGGCTCTTCTCCTGTTGGGCTTCCCTCCTGCAATGAGCAGACCAGGTCTTACCCATGGGGCAAGGAGGCAGCGTTCCTCCAGCCCACATCCTCTTCATCCTCCCACAGCGTGGCTCCCACCTCGGTGCTCTCTGTCCATTCCTGTGCCACGTGTCTGGGTCGCAGCAGGACACGCCTTCCCCATGGACCATGGCAGCAGCCATGGGGGCATCTCTGACCGGGGCAGTGGAATTTGAGCTCACCTCGCTCCTGAGCGGGGAGGGGGCAGCCGCAGCGCTCTCTGTCACTGGCACGTCTGCAAGATAAGTGATGCTCAGTGTCCTGTGCCAGTACCCAGGTCCTGGCCCAGACTGTGACAGGATAAAGCCCATCCCAGGGAGCAGGAGCCACGGCCAGCAGAAAGCAGCCTGGTCCTGTGAGTGTTCTGTGCTGGGACATGGCTTGGGAGGGTGGAAACTTTACCTGCTGGCATTTCCAGGACAAGTTTCTGAGCAGCCACTGTGCCGACCAGCTTCTCCAGGTCCAGGGCAGCCGGCTCGCCTTGCTGCAATGGGAAGTGCCAGCGGCCGTCATGCTCAGTGTGGCACAGCAATGGCAGCCAGGACCTGTGAGCTCCTTGGACAGACCCTGTTGGGTCATGAACTGCACAGCACAGAGCACACCCATGGGTCCCTCCCAGCCCACAGCAGGTGCCACGGCCCATCTCAAACACTGGTGACTCTCCACGAGCCTGCAGCACAAACCGCTGCTCCCCACCACTGC